GGCGAGCAAAGATAAAGTCTATAAAGCAAGATAAGCAATTAACAGATGATTTAAAAGATTGTAAATTATATGAATTTGGAATACAAGATGAAGGGAGCAAATTCCAAAGAAATGAAATTCGAAAAAAATATAAAAGTAAAAAAACTAGACAAAAAAGAGTTTTTGCAGCATATAATAAAAGAATAAATTTTAGTAGATAAAACAAGAGACTAGCTCTTTAGAGCAATGCCAATTTAAGTATTTATAGAAAAGAGAAAGCAACATTATGATTATGTAATAATAGTTGGCTGCAAGAACAGGTCCAGCTATGTTTTCTATGCGTTTTTGCATCTTGTCTAAAAAAGAAGGGGCATCATTAGAAGATCCTCCCCAGATATGGCAAATTTATTCCATAAAAGGGCAGATTAGAGATTTTTAGAGATGAAAATAGAATCTGGAGTAAGAGTGTGGCAAGCCCGATATAGAGATGCAATCTTAGCAGGTGCTAATTTTACAATGGATTTGATATATGGTTTTCAAGAAAGATTGGAATTAACAGTTAATCCTAGAAGGCAAAGGGTAGATGACTTATCAAGTACATTAACATTCATAAATATAGGAAGATCTAGATAATTGTGTTAACGATTAGTTGAAAAAAATTGAGTTTTATCTAAGTTAAAGTTCACCAGCTCCATGCTTTTCATACTCAAATGCTCGCTTAAGCAATCAGAGATTGTTATTTTATTAAGACAAGAATAAATGGTAGTATCATCAGCAAACAATACTGTCTTAGATGTGAGAATTTCTGGGAGATCATTAATCTAAAATTTAAAAAAGTATAGGTCCAAGTATAGAACCTTGAGGAACCCTCAAGTTATAGGAAATGAAGAAAAGTGCTGTTTATCCAGGACAACTTTTATATCATGATTGGTAAGGAATGATTTAGTAATCTTAAAGATGTTACTGGATACACCAGAAGAGAGCTTATGGAGAAGAAAAGCATGTCAAACTTTATTAAAGGCTTTAGAAATGTTGAGAGCGATAGCCCTAGACATTTCTAAAACCTCATTGCTGCCCAAACCCAAGAGAGAGAGAACCTTTGCTTAAAATCTATTTTCATTGCAGCACTTTGATGTTTCATTTATTAAGTAAATTTAACAGTGATGCAGTTATGTAGTATTTTTTCATTAAGCAGCAGAGTTCAAAAACCTTGCAAAAATATTTTTGGGTATATTTGATAAATGCTTACCTAACAGTCAGAAATTTCATAAACTTTTTTGAGTAGATCAACTTAAAAGTTAGTTAACTGTCAAGAATATTAACACTTCCCATAAGAAAAATATACTAAAATATTTTTTAACTTTAGTCAAATCTTTTTATTGCCTTTTTGTAACATTTTCAAAGACTCTTTTTTATTTTTGTTTTTGAACTGACATGTATCATCTCAAAAGATATCGATGTTCAATTATATACAGTTGAGGTTTCTGACAGATGCTCTTTAATTTCATCCTTATAGGGAATTATGGTTGATTTTTAATGTTTTTGATTTTCTAATAAAATTGCAATTGACTTCAATAATATACAGCTGATGTGTAGATTGAAATTGATAATGAGTCTTTTAATTCAGTTGAAACCTATTTTTGTCAAGTTTTGATTACAAAGTTCTCAATTTTATACTCCAAAGTTTGAATATCTAGTGCATTTTACAATATTTACAATGGTTCATGAAATACTCCTTAAGCGGGTTCTCACATGCAAAATTTAAATTGCATGTCAATAAGTAATCAAATATGCGATGTGACTTTTTTAACGCAATTAATTTCAAAGTGCACATTTACGGGTACAAGTTGTATGCCAATTTTATATTACCAGATAAACTTTTACAGGTACTGCGATCTTACATAAATAGTGGTTGATTTTCAGCTATCAATGTTTTCAAAACTTTTTTTGTAAAGGAGGTCATTATAAAGCATTTTTTTACTCATTTAGTTAACTTACATTTCTCTTCTGGTCTGTTTGGTGATGTTATATTATTGCTTTGATAAAAATTTACTTATATTATCACTTTGATAAAAATTTTGTACCAATTTTATAATATTACCAGATAAAATTTTATAATATTACCAGATAAAATTTTACAGGTGTTGCAATCTTACATAAATAATTTTCATCTATCAATGTTTTCAAAATGGCTGTTTTTTTATCAGGAGATCCTATTAAAGCATTTTTTTACTCTTTTTATTAAGCTTTGCCTATAGGACAAGAAAATGGCTTGTTTTACTTTTTGCTTGCATAATAGTTGTTTTATTTCACTTTTTATCTTTATACTTTCTTTTGCCATTATTTTTTATTTTTTTCTCGTCATTGAGTGAACTTTTTAATCTCTGTCTTGAAGTTTTCAAACTTCTTTAAATACGACAAAAAAAAAAAAGGTTTCAAATAAAGCTTTGTTTTGCTTTGTAAATGTTTCCTCCATTTCACAGTATTTACTTTTTCTGTCTTACTGTATGGTAGAAAATTAAATTGATTTTATTTTTATATTACTTGAGCGACCTGATAAACAATAAAATGTTAAAACTTATTGCCTGCCACTTTGACTTATAATAAAATGTTTTAAGAAAATAAAAAAATTTTAAAGTAAGAGTTCTTATATTATTTACTTTACTAACATTCTCATAAAAATATTTCATCATTTACTGACATTTTCATCAAAATATTTCATCATTTACTAACATTCTCATCAAAATATTTCATCATTTACTGACATTCTCATCAAAATAATTTATCATTTACTGATATTCTCATCAAAATATTTCATTATTTACTGGCATTCTCATCAAAATATTTCATCATTTACTGATATTCTCATCAAAGTATTTCATCATTTACTGACATTCTCATCAAAGTATTTTGTTAATTATTTATTTTTGATTAAAAATCATTCTTGTTATGTAAAAGTACGTCTGCTCACTTTTTGTGCTAAAATAATTTACAAAAATGTAATGACATATTTAAGTATAAAAATATTTTACAAAATTGCAATTGCGTTTAAGTATATAATCCTTAAATGTATTTTATTGATTTTTGAAAAAGAGAAACTGGCTTAGTTTTAGCAGCGTGAAGTATTTATATCAATTTTAGGACCTAAATAAATTTTAATAATTTATAGGCGTAAACAGTCAAAGATTTTTAAACTAAATCTTCTGTAAAATGCATCATATCAATATAAACATATTACAAGAGCTTTAATGAAATGTTCTAATGTTTTTAATAATTCTAATGTGTTATATAAGTGTGTATTCAATATTATATTCTAATACACACTAAATTTAATATTTTGTAAATTAATATTATTTTTCTTGTATTCTTTTTTATATTAATAGAACTTATATTTACTTGCTTCTTAATATATTTTTAGATCGGATTGTACCATCCTGCTTGATAAACTAGACATTGAGAATAAAACACCATGGGAGTTAAAACAAGGTTAAAAGTTAATTAAATTATGTGTATGTATGTGTGTGTGTATATATATACAGTGGTTTTCATAAATTTAGACGCACTCATATTTGAGAATAGAAAATTTTAGGTATTTTAACGATAAAACAATGACGAAAAAAGATTTCGGTTTAGTTTTTTTTCTATTTATCAGATAAATACATACAGAATACAAAATTTAAAAAAAGTTTACAAAAAAAATGAAATACTAAGTAATAATTAGGTACAACTACATGGTATTAAAAAAATTAGACAAAAAAAATTATTCATAAATTTAGACGCACGATACATTAGAAGGCGTAATTTATGAACCAATCAATATTTTGTGTATCCGCCTTTTGCTTTAATACAACTAAGAACTTTTCTAGGCATAGACTCAACAAGATTTTTGCACATCGCTTCTGGGACCCCATACCAGGTCTCCTTAAAGAATTCCTTCAGCTGACCAAGTGTGGAAATTTGAACCTTTGCTGATTCACGATCAATCCAAGCCCAAATGTTTTCAATCGGGTTCAAATCAGGTGAATATGGAGGCCACGGTATTGTCATAATATTATTATCGTTGAACCACTCCTTTGTATATTATGCAGTATGTGCAGTAGCGCTATCTTGTTGAAGTTTCCATGGTTTATCATTGAGCATAAGCAGGTCAATTGATGGGATTAGGTTGTTTTCCAGTACTTCTACGTATATTCTAGAGTTGATTCTTCCGGTGTATGTTTGGCACATACCAACACCTTTGTAATTGAAGCATGACCAGATTCCTATCGAGCCTCCTCCACTTTGTACAGTTGGTCTAATGTACCTGGCGTAATACTTTTCGTGAGCCATTCTTTTGACTGTTATGTTAGATTTGCGATTGATAAGCTCAAAGTTACTCTCATCACTCCACATAATGTTTTCCCATTGATCTATTGTCCAATACCTTCTTTTACGACACCATTTTAGTCTCCTTTGTTTATCATATGGACGCAGAAGCGGTTTCTTCAAAGCAGTGTAGACTCCAATCTTGTATTTGATAAGTATTCGGCGGACTGTGCTTTGAGAAATAGATGTATTTCGCGTTGTATTGAATTCTGTGGTCAATTCTTTGTAACTAATTCTTGGATTAGCTCTGACAGCTCTAAAAAGAACACTATCGTCCTTTCTCGTGGTTGACAAGGGTCTACCTGGCTTCGTTTTCTCGCTGGCACCACCAGTGTGAAGAAAGTTTTGTTTCGTTGTCCGAATGCATTTCTCAGAAACTCCATTTAACTTGGCGATTTTTCTATTACTTTTGGTTCCTTCTTTGATGTGCGCAATAATTTGCCATCTTTCACCTTGAGTGATACGTCTTTTGCCCATTTTTTACGTTTTTTTAGTGCAAAATTAACTTAACTTTTGTTTATTTATTAAATAATGATTAAATAATTCCAGGTAAGTCATATTTATATTAGGTTTTTTGACAAAATCAATTAATTTAGGCTTATTAATGAGAAATATAAGAAAAAAACTACTAATTAACTATCAAATAACAAGATATA